ATTCTCTAGAATAAGATAGACATGAATAAAATGAAACTGATTGAATTGATAATTGAATTGTTCATTTCTAATTTGAGTATTAACAACTAAGGAAATTGTTGCAATTGCTAATTGCATGATGCATGATGCATGATGCATGATGCATGATGCATTGTTTGCATTTGCATTTTTGATTTTATTATTTTACGCAAGAATAAGTAAATTTTAACTATTAAAATAACATTTTGCAAAACATTTAACAATGCTAAATTTTCTTGTGTAATAAAAGAATTTATAATTCTTCCGAGATAAAAGATTTTCATTTTAGTATTATTAATTTTTTTTTTATTACCTAAATATTTTATTCACTCAGATATTGTAAAGGAGATAATATTTCATAGTATATAGGTAGAAAATATGTTGAAAATGAGGTATGAAATTAATAAACGATGAATTACGATGAATAAAAATAAATTTGTTCAGCTACTAAAAAGTGGAACTAACAAAAAAAAAACTTGGCCATGAAATTAATAGCATTAATTGGTTATATTATGCCAAATTGTTGACCGGAAATATTTTCCATAAGATCTTTTCATTATTTTTCAACCATTAATCATATGACACCAAATTTTGTGATTTTATTTACTTCCCAAATTATCAAATGTCAAATCTGTCAAAATGTTTTATTTTATTAAATGATAAAATGATAAGAACAATTGCAAAGAATAATCGTAAAGAAAAATAAAAATGAGGAAAATGGAATACGGAATTTTATAACGATTATAATTCAAGTCGTTCCGGTTCATTCACATTATTTTGCTCATTTTTATTATTCATGAAATTATTTTTAGCCAAATTTCGGAAATGCTGTGAATTACGGAATTCGGCAAACAATGTGAAAAGCACGTGAAGTGATTGAATTCGAGATTTTTGAACGGGTATATCTAATAATGCCAAACAAATATCAACATATTCTTCCAATGATATATCCAATGCTGCGGTTGGTAACTGTAAAATAGTTGCTATTTAGTATTGTTTAAATTTGTTAATTTAATTATTATAATGTAATGGAATGGAGCAATTTAAAATTCCGGAAAATTTTCAATAAATATAAATGATTAATTATTATATTATTTTTTCAATATACCATAAAGTCTCCATAGTATATCCTATAATAGACTTGATATAAAAGTCTTGATATGATTATAAAAGTTAATATAAAAGTGTATTACAGGATATACTGTGGTACATTGAGAAAATATCAATATAATCTATCCAATTAAAATAATAGAAACAAAATGTATTTTTAAGAATAACATAAAATTCATCGTTAACTCGTCTAAAATAACAACAAAAACAACAACAATGCACAGCGATACCACAGAACAACAATATACAATAATAACACAAAATTATAAACAACAACAACAACAACTACTACGCAACAAAAGCTAACAATAATTTACAACAACACAGAACAACAATATATAATAACAACACAACAATAGCATGCAACAAACAGAACACACAACACACAACAACACAGAACTACAGCATACTATAACACGACAACACAATACACAATAACATGAAACAACAGTGCGTAACAAAAAGATTATAACATATAGCTTCTAGACTAACTACAATTACATCGACACTAATTTTCGAAATCATTTACAGCTAAAATATTTGTCTGATAATCAATGATAATCATTTTCTTAACGTTTATTAATTTTGTTATCGTATCACCAAGTCTAATAGTTTAATTAGCATAGTGCTAAAAAAAAACTTAATTAGCTTAATTTTTAAGAAATCAGGAAAAAGTTTGTTCTTAAATAAAGAAAAATTATAATTATCGATTGAAACAATAAAACCTGTTCATTTTTTAACAAATTTTCCACTTCAATTGGCCATTCTTGCATTAAATGCTCGATATTTGGCATTGGTTTTCCATATATCACAACATCGGGTGGTTTAGTTCGATGTATTTCCTTTAAAAAAAAACGAGAAGAAAAGAAAATAAGAAATAATTCATCCCAATATTAATCTTAAATTTAATATTCTATGATTAATTATTATTTGATTAATTGTTATTTTTTATTTTCAATAAATTTAAATTTTAAAAGAAAATAATTAATTATTAAAATGGCCGAATTAAAATATATTAAATTTAAAAAGAATTAAATAATTAAAAACCTTAATACTACTTATCCAATGTTCAATTTCTTCAATATTTTCATCAGCTCTCTCTAATTTTTTCACCGGTATATCTTTTACCAATGTATTCGTGTAATCTTTTAATTCATTTCGTATTTTCAAATTTAAAATGATCGGATCACTTTGTTCCATTGCTGGCTCATCCAATGATATCAAGCCCAAATCATCTTCCACCTGTTTAGTAATAAAGCATTTTAATTAGAAAGTTATTATAAATTTCAAGAAAATCATCAAATACCTTATTGAGAAATTCATCTTTGTGATATTCGTTTATTTTAGATTTTAATTATTAATAGATTCCATATAAATATTAATTATATGATATTGTTTACGTTAAATTAGTTTAGTTTCAATAAGTTTTATTTAAAAAAAATTTTTTTAATTAATTTTTAATATTTAAATTATGCTTTTGTTTAATAATAATGTAGTAATTTGTAAAAAAAGAAATGGATGAAATTTGATAAAACTAATAAAGGAGAAAAGATAAAATTTAAATTGAAACCTCATCAGGTCGTGGTATTTTGATAAAAGCATCAACATCACCAACAGCTGGTATGTAATCCAAAAGAAATGGTTTTAAAGTTGTTTCAATATGTATCATTTTTGCCGTATACGATTCAATATATGAAAATAATTCTTTTTCTTCTGAACCAAGAAGTTTAAATAAATTTGCGCCTAAAACAATCAGATAATTTGTATATTAATAAATTTCATTTTTTAATCAAAAGAAAAAAGTAGTAAAATTTATTAAGTAAATTAGGTGTTAAAATATTTCGATCAATATTACTTATTATTTACTTCTATTATTATTATTGTTATTATTATTTCTATTGTTATTATTATTGTTATTATTGTTAGAGATTTATGATGTCAAGTACAAGCTAATTGATATTCAATTAAAAATTTAATCAGAATGGGAAGCCTTTGTTTGAGATGAGAGAAAAATGAACCGCTATGTTTTTTTATTGGGAAATCGAAGAAT